CTCTTTCTTGCACCCCATTCCCCGACACCTCCATGTGTTCCCCCCAGGGGAGGCTGGGGAGGGGGAAGGGAAGGGGAATGGGCAGCCTGGGTTGTGGGCAGCACTGCCTGTGAGGCAGGCCAGAGGAGCCCATGGCAGGAGACCCATGGCCCAATGCCAGGGCATGGGCACTCAAAGCCCTTTGGCCCCACTCATCCAGAGAGGTCTCCCAGGCCACATGTGAGAGGAGGCAGCTCGCAGGGCTTTGCAGATCTGGCAGCCTACTGTGGTGCGGGGCCAAAGCCACCTGTGTCAGCAGGGGGCTTGCCTTCCCCCATCCCTGCACCATGTGCTCATGGTGTCAGGCCTGGTGCTTAGTTGAAGTGTTCCTTCTGGCGGTCGAGGTGCTTCCCATAGGGCCTCATAAGCCAGGGCAGCCTGATGGGGGGTAGGCTAGGCCCTCAATAGGGATAGGGGGGGCAATGACATTGGTGATGATGAAATCAGGGACCCCAAGAGCATAGCGCCCACTCTTCATCACCCCAGGGAACAGGGAGTTGCATAAGAGGTGGGCACCTCGACTTTGGCTGCATGAAAGTCAGTGGCCCAGTCGTGCCCCAGACACCTGGATTCTGTGTGCATGTGTGTGGGGGGGGGCATGCACGTGTGCGTGCATGCATACATGCGCGCACACAACCCAGGTGTGCTAGACACACACACACACACACACACACACACACACACACACACACATAGGCACAGGGTGAGCATGCGGGAGATGGCTGTCTGATGGCTTGTGGCCACGACAAGCCACTGCTACATCAGGTCTAGGTGGGCAGCCATAATATCCCTGCCAACCAGTCAGATGGGTAGGCTGTTCAGCTCAGGAGTCTTCAGCACCTCAGGGAACCTGCAGGGCACTCTGGGAATCATGCAAGAGCCCCTGCTACCTGCTGTGTTTGGGCCAGACAGGCAGGCTCCAAGCCCCACATACCCTCCCTACAAGGGCTAACGTGTGTTTTGCTTCCTCCCTACCTAAACAGGGGTGCTTAGAGAAAATTACCAAGAGGGTTTCAGGCTTTTAAATAAAGCCTGAAGATTACTTTGGGAGATTATTAACATGGGAGAGGCAACCTGGTGGCAGAAAAGGCAAGTACTCAATGTCTTCTTCATCTTCACATGCCAAGTCAGCTCCCAGATTAATGCACCTGGCAGCACAGTTTCGGGAGGAGGGAAGCAGCCAGCAGTGACAAAAAAACAGGTTAAGGACTATTTAGAAAAGCTGGATGTGTACAAGTTCATGGGGCTGGACAGGATGCACCCCATGGTGCTGAGGGAGTTGACTGATGTGATTGCAGTGCCTCTGGCCATCATCTTTGAAAACTCATGGTGACTGGGGGAGGTCCTGGATGATTGGACACAGTTTAAAACTGATACGGCTCAAAATACATTTTTTCAATGTCGTTTTTACCAAATTAACTTCAAATGAAATGTTCCTCTGTATGAAATTGCCAGAAGTTTTGAAATTAATACAATGGCCACTACTTTGTAGTGTTTGCAGTGGCAACGCTGCAGCAGTTAATGTACTGAGAGCCAGATACTGTCTATAAAGTGAGCTAAATAGACTGGTCTACTTTCATTGTCCAAATTCAGAGACTTGCCAAAAGTCATCAGAGTAAATGGTGGAAAGTAAATCTCATTTAGAAATCGCTTGAGCCTTAATCTAGGTTGCCTGGTAAGAGTATACCATGGGAATCTGTATCTCTGCAGGAGGTATTGGATACAAGCTAACTTGATGGGTCAAATTTTGCAAAAAATTCACCCTTAGTAGATCCGTTGACTTCACTCCCCTTTAGCCTCTTAAAAGAGAGACACCACTATGATGCATCACAGACCAGATGCTGCTCTTACAGCTGTGCAAATCCAGTGCAGGTGCATGTTGTAACTGAGCTGTTTTGGGGTTTGTTTGTTTTTTAATCTCTTATCTTCCACTGTTTGCACCATTTATTTACCTTTTCTGTTCCTTTAGCCTGGGTGGGGAAACTAGCTGGCTGAGTTTCCCTGCTGTATTACATGGGGCTGTAGCATTGCAGGAGAATGCTTGCAGGACCATACAGGAAAGAAGCAGCTCTAGCAGTATAGGTTGTATTTCTGGCTCTACCTGAGATATCCTGAATGATGTTGGGCAAGTCATTTAATCTGTTTGGCTGCAACAGCATTGAAGTGGGGTGCAGCTGCTTGCAAAGAGGGAAAAATTTCAGTAATGGTATAAATACTAATTTAGAAATAGCCCAAGCATCTTTATCGTCACCCTCTTCTGCATCCTAAATACCTGTGACCCTTCTAGCTTATAATGTGTGCTGTTGCTAGGCCTGGGGAGGCAGGATGGCATTTTCTAGTGTGGCTGCAACACATGTACCCATGGCAAGTATTCCCTATCAATAAGGTGGTAGATGATGCCTACTTCTCAGCAGTTTTATGGGCCTTCATGTGTGAGGTCATGATAGACTTAGATGGGAAGGACTTTTAAACAAAATGTGTTTTTCATTTAAATAAAAAATAACCCTGTTGTGGAGTTGATAAAACGTCAGAATGGCTGTCTCATGGGAAAGATCAATGCTTCTACATTGTTCTTGTCCTGACTAGGCATGCACAGTTGAAATAGTGGCATGCTTCATGGAATGAAAAGTTTTACAAAATTTCAGTTGGAAATAGTGTAAATGTTTACCATTAAAACCAAGATGTTTCAGCATTTTGTGACAGATGTTATGAGTTGGTTTACCATCCTGAATGGGAACACTTTGTTTCAATTCTGCATGTTCTGAAACTGTGTTTGCCTTAGCCACCGCAATGATTCGTGACAGCTGCTGTTTGAATGCCTTGTGCCCCTTTCCTCTCCTTTGTACTTAAGCTCCCTGGCTGGACTGCATCTCAGGAGTTGGCATGTTCAGCCTGCAGAAAAGGCACTTAAGAGGGGACATGATAGCAGTCTTCAAATACTTGAAGGGCTACCATAAAAGCACCTGTTGTCTCTTGCTGCAGAGAAGGACATGGACCCAATGGTTTGAAGTTGCAATGAAGTAAATTTAGATTGGATATCCAGGAAAAACTTCTTCACTGTGAGAATAGTGAGGCAGTGGAACAGGCTGCCTAGGGAAGCTGTGGACTCTCCATCACAGGAGGTGTTCAAGAAGAGGCTGGACAGTCACTGGTGTGGGATGATCTAGGCATAGCATGCTTATTTTCTACCATGGGTATTTTCCATGCTTCTGGGCTTTGCTGGTTGCTCCTTCTCCTTCCCCCCCACCTTATTTTTCTGCTGTACGTCAGGGTGTTTTTAAGTCTCACTAGAGGCATTGGGTGTTGGCTTTGGCTATGGCTAAGTCTGGGGTGTCATGATTCTCTTGCTAGTAAACCTCCTGCTGGAGGTTCCTAGCTAGAAGGTCTTACCCAGGTGTTGGCAACCCCCAACACGTGCCAGAGCATGGCACGAGGCCATTTTGCTCAGCACACCATAGCCGACTGGGGCTCTGTGCAGCTGCTGTTGGCTATGGAGCCCAAGCTGCTCACAGCAGGCACTAGGGAGGCTGCAAGCCCTGTTGCAAGCAGCCCAGAGTCCGTGGCAGGCAGCAGCTACCCAGACCCCAAGCCAGATGTGTCAGGCAACCAAGAGGTTGCAACCAGTGCACTGGGGTCCGGAGCCGCAGGCCGGCTCTGTGGCCTATGGCGGCTGCACGTACACCTCGGGGCGAATGGCAGGGAAGAGACTGGGGTTGTACTACCCCAGGTCCCTTCCAGCCATGCACCCTGAGGAGTGCATGCAGCTGCCACTGACCTGAAACCCAGGCTGCAAGCTGGCGCACCAGAGTCTGGAGTCCCAGCCTGGCTCCACGACTGGCGGTGGGTGGACACATGCCTCAGGGTGCACAGCAGGGAAGGGCTTGGGTGTGCTGCCACAATAAGGATTGGGTGTTGCCATCTGCTCCTGGCATGCCAACATCTTCCAAGTCCAGGTTGAGGTGGGTTTTGGCACTCAGCCCAAAAAGGTTGCTGATCCCTGGTCTTGCCCTTCCACTCAGGGTCAGACCAGTTACTGTATTTCAGGTCAGGAAGGAATTTTACCCCATGGTCAGATTGGTACAGACTGGGCGGGGGCGGGTGCTTTCCTCTGTAGTTGGGGGAGTTTTGCCTCCCTCTACCCAAGATATCTTGAGCATAAATTGACAATGTTTTAGAGAAGCAGGACATTGGCTGCCTTGGTTCCCCTGCTTTACCTGTGGCAGGTTAGGGTGTTAGGTCTATGTTGTGTCAGGCTTGAGAGCAGTCTTATGTAGAGTTTAGATTACGGTTGTATCGGATGGTTTGGATAGGGGTGATCCTGATTCAGGCAGAGGGTTATGTAAGTCAGACCTCTGGAAGCCCCCTCCTGCCTTATTTCTGTATGACTATGACTCGAGGCACTGGGGGCTCAGCTAGAGGGAAGACAGTTGTCTGTTTTGGGAATTGTGTTTTACATGTAGTCCACTAGGCTGCCAGAATGGAGGCATGAGGAACTGAAACAGCGGCTTTCATGGTGTACCATGGCAGCTGGAGGAGAGAACTGACACTATAATCTAACAGAAAATTAGGAAAAAAAAGCAAAATTAATCAAAGCTTTCCATCAAAATCCTATTTCTCTGCAACACATTTTTTCTTATTCCTACTGGATGAACCACTGATACTTCTTTTTGTTGTAAAACCACAATCAGACCTATTCTTCTTAAAGGAGCCTTCTACTTGAGTGAATGTCTGTCATCTTTTCTGTCATTCACTCAGTAACATGCTATCTGCTGCTTTGTATGATAGAGCTCTGTAAAACACCTCAGGATATCTTTTTAACAAAAGACGCTTTAAAAAAAAAAGTCCTTTTTACCATTTAAACCTCTTAGGCAGCATAATGACCCTGATGGAATTTAGTTTGTAGGTCCTGTTGTGCCAAATAGCTCCATTTGCAAAGATAACTCTGCTCCCTCTGTTCACAGATTATGCTAAATTTCACGTCAATGGACTTGTTTAAAAGCCGCCTGTGTTGGTATGATTATGTGGAGGTGCGTGATGGCTACTGGAGGAAGGCTCCCTTATTGGGTGAGTGGCTATTTAAATTTTTTAAGATGCTTGTACAGAGTGTATGTAAATGGGCCCTTCATCCACTAGCTGCTGGGAGCTTATTTGTAGAATAGGCACATGGTTCTCCTTTAATACTTCTCCTCCATTGTTATCAAAGTGCTTCTTGAACACTACGTAATTCATCCACCCAGTTCTCTCTGTGAGGTAGGAAAATGTTATTCCTTTGTTTTTCAGATGAGGAGTTGAGGTTCAGAGTGAAATGATTTGCCCAGAGTGCCATAGCAAGTCAGGCAGACCTGGTCTTTTGATTCCCTGTCCCTTGCTCTAGCCATACAACATTGCCTTAAGACATATTTAATTATACTGCACTGAAACAGAGTTCCTAGATGATCAAACTGTACAATTTCTGACCCAGTGAGTCTGCCAAGTATGTAAATCGGTGCACTCAGATGAGCGATTGTACTACTACCCATTAGCCTACTGCATGGACTGGTATATTGAATTTGTGGTTTTTCCATATGCATATCTTCCTATTCTAATTTGTGTATAAAGAACTGGGATGGGACACAGAAAACTCATCTTATACAGGTCATAAAATGCTAGGAACGTTCAGTCGCTAAAGTGTGAAATGGATTTGAATCTGCCATCTTGAGGGAAATGGTTTATCTGAGCTACCAAATCCTCTAGACCATCCAGCCTCCTCTCCCTATTAGACGTAGAAATACACTATTTTTAAAAGCAGGCTCCAGAGGTAGGGAGGATGTCTTCTGATGGGGAGGAGGCACAAGCCAGGCTAAGAGAAAAGCTGTAGAGGAAAATATTTTAGTGGCCTTTGCTGGGAAATATGAGGGAGTTACAGCTTTCCGGTCAGCACCTCTCACATGCCATCTCATTTTCCAAGAGCTGACTTCCCTTTAGGATGTACCAGTTATGGACATGGAGCACGTCTCTGACATACATATTGTTGCTGTGGGCTACCTGTAGGCTCTGATGTAATTCCTAATGCTTTCTTCCAGTACCTGCCATTCCACAGTTGCGCCTCCCACATACAACTGCAGGGCATCAGCCTACAGATATTGTTCCAGCTTCTGTAGCAGGGGACTCTAGCAAGGTTTCCTCCAACTCATTCAAAACATGGCTCAGTCTTGGTAGGACCAGACTGTATATTTCAATCATGGTGTAGCCCTTCTATGGTGTAGAAGGCCTTGGTAGGATGAGACTGTATATTTAAATGATGGTGCAGTCCTTCAATCTGTGGTGTAGCCCTTCTAGAGACTGCTGCTTTTGGGTGCCCAGCTGAGGACAGTTATGGGGTGGGAGGAAATCTGGTCTTTAGAAAATGCTGAGCTACCTGTCCTTTGCAAACCAGGTCCTCTACAGTGTTAAGATAAACACCTAAAGTTGCAGATCACTGGAAGAGGGCCGTAGGCCACTTTGGAAGCAGTCAAATAGAAGTGGCTTACAGGGCATGACTGGACCATGCTTAAACAATGTGGAGTTGATTGTTGGGAAACCATGTCCTCCCCTGCAGTCACATTGCAACTGGGATGGAACCTGAAAAAGCATTATTTGAATTCAAACTTCTGTGTCTCTGGTTTTTAAAAACTGGCTCTGTACAAAGCCTTTAGAAATTGTATGGGATTGTCTCCATGATTTCTTATGCATGATCCAGGAGAATGTGAATTAGCACGGATGGGACAACAGGCTTCATCTCCACACTGCATCTCTGCTTGGGCTCTGAAATATTATAAAAAAGCACTGTTGTCTCAAGCTCATAGCATCTCATTTATTTCCTTCAGCTTGTACCATGCTGTCAGTCACTGTTGAGAACATGAGGCTGCTGGTAAGGGCATTTGGGATTTTCTTACTTTTGGGTGTTTTGGTGGATGAAGGAGTCGGAAGAGAGAGCCAGGACATTTGGGTTCTATTCCCAGTTCTGCCACTTCCTAACTTTGATCTTGGGCAAATTCCTTCACCTCTGCTTTCGCATTTGTAACATATGTGAATCTCCACTGTACCCTACGAGGCAAGAAACTCCAGATTTTTTTCAGCTAGATGAGTGCAGCCTCACACAGGTTACTGGGGGGGTGTTTTCTGTTACAACTAGGAATTTGACTACTGGGCGGGGGTATTCAGTGGAGCCTAGATGAGTTGGGTGCCCCTTTGAAAATTCCTACCCTTAATGCCTTTGGTATTAGGTTGTGAGGCTTATCAGTTGTGAAGGGTTTTGAAAACCAGTGAAGAACAGCAAGGCACTAGGCCAGTGATACTCAACCTGTGTGTCGGGGCCCCCTGGGGTGCCACCAGATCCTTTGAAGGGTGTCACAAGATGTGAAGAGATAAGTGAGGTGAGATCAGATAAGCTAAGTAGATAAATGCAGACTCAGGTTTGTCCCTGCCTGAATGACCCCCTAATTCCCACTGCCCAGCCTCTCTGCAAGGGGGTTAGCCCTGTAATATATAAATTAGTTTTTGAAATTGGGTGCCCCTCAATTTGCAAACGTTGTGCAGGGAGGGATCTAGTCCAGTGAAGGGTGCCTTGAGTCCAAAAAGGTTGAGAACCATGGCACTGGACCCTAAACCTGCAAATCCTTGCATGGCTATGCACAACAGAGCAAAGTTGGGCAGACAAAGGTGCAGGGAACAGGGGAGGCCCATGGAGCAGTAAGGAATGTCAGCAGCTGGTTTACACTGAGTAGCACAAGGTTAAAAGTAGCAAGCATATCTGAGAGGAGGTAGGCTCAAAAGAGCAGCCCTCAATAGGTGTGTGGTAGTTGAGTCTTGCTCCTTCTCCTAGTCAGAAATAGTGGGTCACCTTCTTACCAGCCCTGGTTCCTGCATTTCTCAGGCCTTAATATGTGACACTGCACCTGTGCTTTGCAGAAGAGGATTAGGCCCTTTAGTAAAGGATTTTATTGGTGGGAA